ACAACCTTAGACCCATCTCCCTGCTGCCATTTACATCCAAACTCCTCGAGCGCTTAGTCTATAATCGCCTAAGCTCCCACCTCAATGACAACAACCTCCTTGATCCCCTACAGTCTGGCTTCCGTCCCCTACACTCCACCAAAACCGCTCTACTCAAACTCACCAACGACCTGCTAACCGCCAAAGCTAATGGCCACTACTCAGTCCTCCTACTCCTCGACCTTTCCGCGGCCTTCGACACAGTTGACCACCCCTTCCTCCTTCAAAACTGTACTCCCTGGGCATCAGAGACTCCGCTCTCTCCTGCCTCTCCTCCTATCTATCCCAGCGCTCCTTCATTGTTACCTATAACGCTGCCACCTCCCCCTCTCTGTTGGGGTCCCCCAAGGCTCTGTCCTCGGGCCCATTCTCTTCTCCATCTACACCTCCTCCCTTGGCCAACTGATACACTCCCACGGCTTCAACTACCACCTCTACGCCGATGACACGCAAATCTACCTCTCTACCCCTCGCCTCACCCCTTCAGTCTCCGCCCATATCACCTGCCTACTGAATGACATATCAGACTGGATGTCACTCTACTTCAGGGGTGGCGAACACGCGGCTCTCGAGCCGCATGCGGCTCCCGGCCAAAATGAATGCGGCTCTTACTTCTTTGATCTTACCTGTTCCTCTATCCAGCGGCGCGCTGTCTTCTGGCTTCTGTAGTGTGGGCACTGGGCATGACAGCCGGGTGCCAAGTGCGCATGCGCAAGAAGCGGTGCTTTTTGAGAATGGTAAGGCGGTACCTGGGACACATGACAGATCCCAGAAGCTGCCGGACCAATCACAAAGCTTCTCACTCATGCGCACTGGGCACCCGGCTGTCATGCCAAGCGCCATTACAGAAGCCGGGAAGACAGCGCGCGGCTGGATCGAGGAACAGGTAAGATCAAACAAAAACTCTGCGGAAGTAAGAGCGGGTTCCTGTCAAATTCAGGTACCCGCTCCCCACCTCCCCACCTCCCCAAAGGTCAGCAGTCATCTGTACTGTCCGCAGTCTCTGGTCATCCCTGTGCTGTCCGCAGTCTCTGGTCATCCCTGTGCTGCCCGCAGTCTCTGGTCATCCCTGTGCTGTCCGCAGTCTCTGGTCATTCCTGTACTGTCCGCAGTCTCTGGTCATCCCTGTGCTGTCCGCAGTCTCTGGTCATCCCTGTGCTGTCCGCAGTCTCTGGTCATCCCTGTGCTGTCCGCAGTCTCTGGTCATCCCTGTGCTGTCCGCAGTCTCTGGTCATCCCTGTGCTGTTCGCAGTCTCTGGTCATCTCTGTGCTGTCCGCAGTCTCTGGTCATCCCTGTGCTGTCCGCAGTCTCTGGTCATCCCTGTGCTGTCCACAGTCTCTGGTCATCCCTGTGCTGTCCGCAGTCTCTGGTCATCCCTGTGCTGTCTGCAGTCTCTGGTCATCCCTGTGTTTTGTAAGGGGAAGAAAGTGTTATGGTAAATAATATGGTTTTAATTATGTGTTTTTTGTGTGAGTGTTTGTCTGTTTTGGCAGGTCACTGCGTGGTGTGGCTCTCTGACTTTCACAGTTTAAAATTTTGGCTCTTTGTGTCTAACTTGTTCGCCACCCCTGCTCTACTTCCTCAAATTAAACCTTTCCAAAATCGAGCTCCTAGTTTTCCCCCCACCCTACGCTCCCCCCCCCAACCTCTCCATCACAACCAATAAAGCCACCATCAGTCCCACCCCGCAAGCCAAATTTCTAGGTGTCACTCTTGATTCCAATCTATCCTTCCAGCCCCATATCCAATCGCTGGCAAATTCATGCAGGCTCCACCTCCGCAACATCTCCAAAATACTTTCGTTCCTAACCCCAGACACTACTAAACAACTCATTCACTCCCTTATTATCTCACGACTCGACTACTGCAACTCCCTCCTCACTGGCTTACCTCACCACAGACTATCCCCGCTTCAGTCTATCCTGAACTCAGCGGCCAGACTCATCCACCTTACCAACCGCTCCGTATCTGCCACCCCCCTCGGTCATTCCCTCCACTGGCTTCTGATTGCCCAACGCATAAAATTCAAACTACTAACATTGATGTACAAAGCTATTCATAATACTGCCCCAAACTACCTCACCGACCTGATATCCAAATACCACCCAACACGTACTCTTCGATCCTCACAAGACCTCCTACTCTCCAGTTCCCTGGTCTCCTCCTCCCATGCCCGACTCCAGGACTTCTCCAGGTCTTCCCCCATCCTCTGGAACTCACTACCCCAATCCATCAGACTGTCACCTACCCTCCTCACCTTTAGGCGCACTCTGAAAACCCATCTCTTCAGGGAAGCCTACCCCGCCCTCACCTAACAGCCGATCTCCTCCACTCCTCCTACCACTCCATCCACCACCGCCATTTCCTCCTGTACCACTATCCCCTCCCTCCTAGATTGTAAGCTCCAAGGAGCAGGGCCCTAGAACCCCTCGTGTATTGTATTGTTACTGTATTGTCTCATGTACTGTCTCCCACTATAATGTACAGCGCTGAGCAAACTTTTTAGCGCTATATAAATACTGTATAATAATAATAATAATTTTTATTGTTCCCCTAGGCATAAACAAACAAAGCCCGCACTGCAAGTGATTTTTATTTGCCCAGAGTTAAGCTTTAAGTATAACTTTACAATGTTTTTTTTTATACGGGGTGGGGGGAGTAGGAAAATAACAAAAAATAAATACATTGAGTTATACTTTAAGTTTACTTCTAGTATGGGTCAGGGCTTACGTTCAGGAGTGAGATTGCATTTAGGGTATGGTTAAAGTGATATCAAAGGCTATTTTGTTTTTACAAAAATAGCAAACATGTCATACTTACCTGCTCTGTGCAGTGGTTTTGCACAGAGCAGCCCAGATCCTCTTCTTCTTGGGTCCCCCGCCAGCTCTCCTGACCTCTCCTTCCTGCCATGTGCCCCCAGAGCAAGCAGCTTGCTATGGGGGCTACCAAGCAGGCTCACTCCCAAGCCACTGCTCTGCATGTCCCTTCACACACAAAGCCATGCCTGAGCCCAGCCCCCTCTCTCTCCTCATTGGCTTTGATTGACAGTAACGGGAGCCAATGAGGAGGAGAGAGTCAAGGTTCTTGTGCACATCACTGGATTGCAATGGGGCTCAGGTAAGTATTAGGGGGGATAAGGGGGCTGCTGCACACAGAAGGTTTTTTTTCCTTAATGCATAGAATGCATGAAGGCATGAAGGCACACTCAACACTGCCCCTGGCAACATCACCATACTCATCTTGAAATATCACCCAAATCTTCCACTGCACTCTTCCCAAGACATCTTGCTCTCTAGCTTCTTTGTTACCTCCTCCCATGCTTGCCTTCAGGACTTCTCCAGAACCTCTCCCATCCCCTAGAACTCCCTAGTATGCCTAGTTAGCTCCCACCCTGTCCGTCTTTAGCTGATCTTTGAAAAACTAATTTATTCAGAGAAGCCTACCCCACCTCCACCTAAAAACTGTACTTGGGTCACCTCCATCAGATAATCCTCTGCAGCTATTAACTTTTGTGCCACCTCCCCCTCCCTTTAGATTGTAAGCTTCATGTGCAGACCCTCATATTCCTTCTGTATTGAACTGTATTGTAATTGTACTGTCCCCGTTATATTGAAAGTACTGTGCAAACTGTTAACGCTATATAAATCTCGTACAGTAATAATAATAAATATATAATATAATAATTTTCAGAGAAAGGTTGAGTGTTACGGTTTGGGGAAGGTTAAGACTTACAGGACCCCTTTAAAATGTTACTAAACCCAGGACCCTGCATTCACTATATTTGGTCTTCCACAGTACATAGAACATGGAAATGCAATTATTTCAGTAAATATAAACTGCTAAATACCTTTTCTCATCAGCAGTTAGATCACTCTTGTGACTTCTATCAGTGTCCAGCAGAGCACATGTTAAAGCTTGTAGGAGGAGTTTTCATTCTGCTCTAGGAGGATACAGAGCCCTTGACCTCTGTCTGGACAGTGCTGAATGGCCCTGTGGTGATCACATGCACTCCCCAAAAAAAAAAAAACCTCTCTAGAAATACACACCAAACTGAGAATGTGCAGAGTGTCTCCACAGGATATGTCTTATGAGGAGATAAGAGGGGGCCACTGGAAGAAGGAGAGGATCAGAGAATTCAGGATCAAAAAGCCTTTTTTACACAATGCAGAGGATTAACCCCTTAGGTTCCATCGTGAGTATAACAAGAATGCTTTGCTGCATAGTGATAAATACGATGATCATCAATACAATGGACAAATGTATTCAGCGCTCACACAACGATGAATTGAACAGTAACAGATAGGTACACATGGATGCTTGACAAAGGAGGCGGAGCTTCTGAAACGCGTTGCAGCTTGCCCACCCGCCATTCACGGCATCTGTCACAGCACCTGCCACAATCCCTCCACCGCTCAGAACATATGAACGAACACCGCCAAGTCCATGAGCGGCTTCCCTTTAGGTCATGCAGCCTACATCAGTCTATCCATTCGAGTGAATTACGGTCCTGCTCCTCTGCCTACCATCTTATCCTGCATGCTGAGTGAAGGAGCTTTAGATGTAAGTCTTCTGCAAATAAAGTGTAAATAAAATGTTTTAACTTACATTGACCTGGCGCCCTCCTTTCTCTTCTGCATGCTTTGCTGCATATACAGACTGATTTTATGTTGTGGGTTTAGTAATACTTCACGGCTTTGTCTATGGATTCCAACTCTTTTTCTGTTTCTACTGTAAACGCAGAAATGAATGTTATTTGCACTCTCATTCCATCAGAATCTGCACTGTACAGTATATGAAATACTAGACTGTAAAACCTACTCTCACAAGTATATTTAATGCTGACAGACCCATCACAGGGACTTCATGTAGAATATTCACAGGAAAAATAATTTTGTAATAGACTAGAGGCCCAGCATCTCAATTCTTCTAATTATGTCTAACAAATTATTCTACAACGCAGGTCATTACTCCTGGGATTTATCTATGTGCTGTGATGAGAATACAGATGAAGAGAAGAAAGGAAGAGGTACTTCTCATGCTTTCTAAGTGCCCTGCCAAGAGAACTTCAGCAATAAGAGCAGGGAGAGACGTGAGGCTTGCTGGCAAACTGGAAAAGAAAAGGAACATGGCTTTAAATGAGGCAGAAACCAGGGATTTTGGCTTCTTCTATTATTCTTCTCTGTATGAACTGAAAGAAAAAATAAATCATGAATTTAAAGTGAAAAATGAATAAAGGGACAAAGAGGTGCTCTGTGTAAACTCCACACATGAGTACCCTTTTCATAAGAAATACACTATAGAGACATGGTATTGTTTCCCATATTTCTGTCACTGCTCTTTCTGATAGGTTTCCTCACTTTACCTTCTTTCTAGTATGAAAATATTCAATTTCAGTTGGCCACATTTTTTAATAAACTGCAGACAGGTTTTCTATTTGTCATTTTTTTTTCTCCATGGTATGAAATGTGAATGTACAAAACAAATCATGTTGTTCCCATCAGCCCTAAAATAATCTTGCTTGACATATGACAGTTTTACTTTATAAAATATGAAAAAAAAAACACATAGACATAAATACTAAGTGAAACCATGAAATACACACCTTTGTCTTTATATTCCTATTCCAATGATAACAACAACAGCAAATAATTCAGCATAAATTAACAAAGAAAATGTTGACTAGATATACAAAAGGGTGTTCATGGCAGCAAGGTTTCTTCCTTGACTATTATTCTGCTTTAAATTGTAACAAATAAATTAGTGCAGCCAGGTGCTTGGCTAAGAATGGAGAGCGAGAGAAACATTGGCTGCAGCTGCTCTCTGTAGCTGCTGCCCTGAGGTGTTGAATTAGTTGACTGGTAAATCAGCAAGAGGAGGTAGCTGCTGAGCAAGAAGAATTTAATATACTGAGTCAGACAGCACTGCACTGTGGGAACTGTAGTCCAGAGGAGAGAGACTCTACTGTAATCAAGCTGCATTTTTAAGGCTGTACGGGACACCATTTCCTCTTGCCATGAGGGAGCCCGGAGAGAAAACTGTCCAGTGTGCAATATCACTGCTCCATATTGAGGGCCTGAGCAGGATCTGGAATGCTAATAGCCAGAGTCACTTCCAAATATAACTTCAGATGGCTGCACTCCCACAACTCTTCAAAGAAATAGCTTTATTGTACAAAAGCAAATACATAAAAGCCCACCGTATGCATTGTCAGGGGATGGATGGACAGTATATGCATTTCACATTAGTCTCAGTGCTTGTTTAAAACCACTAATAGCCATGGTCACCTGGGTGCATCAAGGTGGACTAATTGCTGTGTGGGACCAGATGGTGAGCTGCAATATCGCTGGCACTGGTGAGCTGCTGCTCTAGGCATTTAATGTCTGCTGCTAGAGAGACTGAGCCCTTTAGGAACATACAGCCACCTAGAAGCCTTATTGTTGCCTGCAGGCTTGACTGGCATTATTCACATGGTACAACTAAGCCCCAACGCTAGCTGGCTGAAGAGTTAGGACTAAAGATTGCCTCTTTACAGTTGCTACACAGAGACCTTCACCTATTGCCTATGCTAAGAGGTACCTCTCAGGGGAGATTGCACCATATCCTAGCCATTCTCCTAGAGTGCACTCTAGACTAGTTATTTTATTATTATTCACATTGCAGATAACACTTATATTTACCATTTATTGATGACTTTGCTGATTTTTGTGTTGACTTCAATCTAGTTGTGCAGGAGTCTATCCCAAATGACCTTGGCAAAGTGATTATACTGTTCATCAGACTGTGTCTCAACCTATCTTCTGTGTGTTCATTTATGCTAATAACAGCATTTATTCTAACCTGTATCAACACATTGAGTTCATTTACCACCAAACAGTCTCGTTTCTATACTCGTGTTCTTATAAGTGCTTGCAGGAACTTTCAGTCAACTAAGTGTGCCAGAGGGCTGAGGGTGTTCCTGGAGTCGAGGTACAGACTAGAGAACCTGGATTTCCAAGCAGCTTCTGTGGGGGGTAGTGGAACATTAGTTACAGTGTAATCCAACAGATGTTCTTTCTAAAGAAAATGCTTGAATCAATGTGTGTATGTATGTATCTGTCTTCCTTGTGGTACAACCCATGGAAGCCAGAAATCAATGTAGTAGGCACCACTATTACAGTGATCTCCATGAATGGCTGCTTTGCACCATTTGGAGACGACTGCATTTCCTCAATGAATGCAAAGTGTTCTCTGATTGGACGAGGTTGAGATCATGATATCACCACTCGACCTCTCCAATTTGTCCAATCAGAGGATGTTTTGTGTTCATTGAGAAAATGCAAAGCGTTCAGTGAATGATGCCTGTGTCAAACAAGCGACATCTTGTGTTCAGTAAGCAGCAAAGCAGTCACTGATAGAGAACACTATAGTAGTGCACTAATGTGATTTCCAGCTTCCACTGAGATCCCACAAGTATGGCAGATACATACTTGCATTGGTTAAAGCCGGACAAATGTAACTATGTAACAATTGCCATTTCTAATCTTCAGCTGTAAATAAAAGCTCAAGTAAAAAAAAAACACATATTGAATTTTCATTACATTGAAATATTTGAAATTTTTTAATCAAATCTATATAAATACACAGGGATATATATATATATATATAGTGACAGTAGGCAGATAAAATAACCTGGTTGTGTCCAGGATGGCAGATACATTGGTCCGAGATTTAGGCTCTATTTGGATTTGTTCCACTAGGGGGAAGTACTGAGCCCTTCAGCAGTGAGATAATGAGCCCAGCTGAAGGTAGTGGGCTCATTAGGGCCTCTATAAAACTTCCCAGCCTGCTTAGGGCGTTGCTCTATCCTGGAACCAGTTCTGTGCCTGAGTAGACTGGGGAGCATAATACCTGTCTGTGCGGTGAGACAAATGCCTGTATGGCTAGCCTCCCATTAACAGGGAGATAAGGACTGGGTGTAGCACAAGGCTGTACCTAGTTGATAGCTAGGGAAGCTTTTTGTATAGTAAGTGGCCAAGTTGGCAAAGATTTATTTTCATGTTTCTTTTTGTTTTGATGTTTTTCTCTTGTGAATAGTGTAAATAAACGGCACCTTTGTTTTTGCACCTGCCCTGCTGTTTTGCTGTGCCTATTTTGTGTTGTGAACTCACCCCGTTACCATTGGGGGAGGATACGGGCAGTCTGTGGTAAATAAAGGCCAGCATGGATGAGATAATAAGACAGTTGGCTCTGGGGAATGCCAATCAACAATAGGTAAATACCAATCAACAACAGACTAATGCAAATCTCCACAGCCCTGCAACAAGCCCTGGAACAAGTGGAGGCCTGCCATAGGGAATTGCTGGCGCAGCAAGACCAGAGACACCAGCAACAAATTGAGGCCGTCATGAAGGCAGCAGACTGAGGCTGGGAGTGATTCCGGTAGTACGCCATCATTTTGTGTGGGCCGTTTATTGCCAAAAATGACTGGAGAGGATGATCCTGAGGTGTTTTTAACCACATTTAAATGGCTGCTGAAAGGGAAAAGTGGGCTGAACTGATGGCCCCATTATTAGCTGGTGAGTCACAGAAACCGTGGCAACCGTGTCTTTTGGGACTCCCAAAGGTAACCTGTCTCATCAGGTAGGGTTGGTGCCTCACTTACCACATGATGCCATTGTGGGGAGGGATTTTCCAAAATTCTGGGAACTTTGGGATTGTCCTGATCCCCCCACTGTCTCTCCTTCAGACCAGGAAGAGACTTAAGGAACTAGGGAGGAGCCTACCTCTTCAGAAGAAAACATGCCGGCTGTTGAGTTTTCTGACTTAGAGGTTCATAGGGAAAATTTTGCCACCGAACAGTTAAAAGACCCCACACTGATAAAAGCACAGGAAAATGTAGAAAAATACATGGCAAACTAGTGAACCCAGATAAGCCTTGTGCTTATCCGTACTTCCTTGTGGAAAGGGACCTACTATATCGAGTTGCTCAAGGGGCGGAAGAAACCATTGAGCAACTGGTGGTGCCCAGACCTTACAGGAAGTTGGTGTTGGAGTAGGCCCATGGACACATCCTTGGAGGTCATTTGAGAGCAGAGAAAACACGGGATAGAGTATTGCAGAGGTTCTATTGGCCTGGGGTCATTAAGGAGATAGAAAATTACAGTTCCTCTTGCCCTGTGTCAGACGTCGGCCCCTATGCCCCATTTCCGTAGTCCACTCGTACCTCTTCCCATCATTGAGGTCCCTTTTGAGAGGATTTCAATGGATTTGGTAGGTCCGCTTGGGGGCACCAGTACATGTTAGTCATACTCGATTATGCCACCCGCTATCCAGAGGCGATTCTGCATCGAAATACCTCTTCCAAGACAATAGCTAAGGAGCTATTTCTTATTTTCAGCCGAGTGGGCATTTCAAAGGAAATACTTACGGACCAGGGTACTCCCTTTATGTCCCGGGTGATGAAAGAGCTGTGCAAGTTGTTCAAAGTAACACAATTGCGCACCTCTGTGTATCATCCCCAAACAGACGGGTCGGTTGAAAGGTTCAACAAAACCCTGAAACAAATGTTAAGGAAGGTGGTGGATAAAGATGGAAAGGGTTGGGATTATCTAATACCCTATTTGATGTTTGCCATCCAGGAGGTGCCCCAGTCCTCTACGGCTTTTTCACCTTTTGAATTGCTCTATGGGAGATACCCAAGAGGGCTGTTGGACATTGCCAAAGAAACTTGGGAAAGTGAGAGTTCTCCCGACCAGAGTGTGATTGAGCATGTTGCCCAATGCAAGATATAATTGTAGCAATTGTACGTACAAATATGGACTTGAACATCCATTTTGCTAAAGATCCTCCATCTTGTGTCATTCTCACTCCAAATCAGCCCCTCTCAATTTCTGTTGAATGGCAGGTGGTCTGGTGTGGCTGAGTTCAGGAGTGCATCGGGCACAGCTGGATACCCTTCATAGTTGTTAACCCAATTAGCTGATGCCATGGTGTCTGTCCCACTCTTGCTCTGAGCTGCTTGTAAAGCTATAAACCTGCCAGTCACTAGACTTGAAAGCATTCCCGAA